TCTCTCTCTCTCTCTCTCTCTCTTTATTCTCTCACTTCTCCTCTTTCTAGCATGACTGAGACAGTGAAAGGAGGAAGGAAGGAAGGAAGGAAGGAAGGAAGGAAGGAAGGAAGGGAGGAAGGAAGGAAGGAAGGAAGGAAGGGAAATAGGAAGGGAAGGAGTGAAGAGCGGAAAGAGGGAAAGAAGGAAGAAAGAAAGGAGAGACGGATGGAGGAAGAGAAAAGAGGTAGGGAGGGATGAAGAGGAGGAACGAAGGAACACAGAGAGAGAGAGAGAGAGAGAGGGTTGACCTGGGCTGGTTGCTGGTGGTAGTGGCTGATGGTTACTTTCTCTCTGAGCTTAACTGGATCACCATATTTAGCGGATCAAGACCTGCCCCCTCTGAGATGGTCAGGCGATAGACTGACCTTGTGGGCTGACACTGCTGACGTTTTTAAGGATTTTTACCCTTTTTGTTTCTCTCTAGGGTCATCATTTTTTCTTTTTAATAAACGTGGCCTCCAGCCTCCCCCAATAGCCACACCTTCGCCACCATTTAATTACCTTAATATTAAATATCCTAATACATAAATAGCTATCCTATCTGTGTTGAATTAGTTGAGCCGCAGATCTACTATTACTACTACTACTACTACTACTACTACTACTTTTTTGTTTTGTCTTAATGGCCTCCAGCGTCCCCCAATAGCCGCACCTTCGCCGTCATTTTATTACTACTACTACTACTGCTACTACTACTTTTGCTACTACTACTACTACTGCTACTACTACTTTTGCTACTACTACTACTTAATACTATTAGTACCAGTGGCTCAGGGGTAATTAAGTAGTAGTATTACAGTAGTAGTTCAGGAGTAGTAAGAATATTGTATGGAAATGTTACAACATGAGAGAGAGAGAGAGAGAGAGAGAGAGAGAGAGAGAGAGAGAGAGAGAGAGAGAGTATCGTGTAACAAATGTTGACCCTGAAGAGTGTAGTAGTCGCCCTTGAGTCCAGGTTAGCATCAAGAAACCTTCGATCTCATTTTGGCGTAATTAGATAGAGAGAGACAGTGAGATAAGAGATACGAAGCCTGAGACAGAGGGTTTTGAGGGAGAGGGAGAGAATGAGAGGTGAGAGACAAAAATGAGAGTGAAGGAGAGGGACAATAAATGAGAGGTGTGGCAGTGAGAGACAGTAAAAAAGAAGTGTGAGAAAGAGGAGAAGAGGAGGAGAAAGGATAGCCACCACTACCACTACCACCATCACCACTACCACTACCACCATCACCACTACCACCATCACCACTACCATCATCACCACTACCACTACCACCATCACCACTACCACCATCACCACTACCACTACCACCATCACCACTACCACTACCACCATCACCACTACCACCATCCCCACTACCATCATCACTACTTCTATTTATTATCATCATCACCATTTCTATCTTCACACCTATTATCATCACCATTATCACTATCACTTCACCATCACCTTCCATGGCATCAAATATTAGAGAAATGAACCCGAGGGAGGGAGGGGTGGGTGGGGCTGGCCAACTGATTGGATACACAGCTCGGCTCCTCTCATAAGATAGCGGTCGGTCGCTAATCTGGGTCCAAGGCATTACCAGTCCACTCAGCTATACACATTATCGTTAGGGAAGTGAAGGTGGCCTCCTTATGTACTGGAGGCTTAATATAAGTATACTATGTCCACACTGCCCACATGGATTTTTTTTTTCATTTCTTCTTCACAATTACAAAGGACAGTTGTAGCTGGGGTGACAGAATGAGACACGGGGAAGGTAGTTAGATATTTTAGAAATTCTCTTCTCTCTTCCTAGATAGATAGAGAAAAGATCCTTAGATTAGCTTTTTTGAATCCTTGTTCAATATTTCTTTGTTCTCTAAAATATGGATAATGAAGCCAAAATGTCACTGATTCATAATTCACAGACACTAATGATTCAATAATTTCACGTTGAATATTGAGAGTAAAAAACCCAACTAGTGATTGCAAGCATATATATACCTTTCGACACACCTACTGGCCAATGCATATGATAATAGGGAGGGAATTGGCAGCCTTACTAGATCACGGCAGGTACAAGGTATGATGCTTTAATTACCCAGACGAAATGGTGTGTTATATTCTTGTTGTCCCTCACTCTTAACCTTACTGATCTGGAAGTGGAACCCGGGCAGGTCACCCTCCGCCTCCACCTCCTCAACCTCCTCCATATCCACCTCTTTCTAGGTCTCACTCCAAATCCCACCTCCAGCCTGGTCATCAACACTGCCGCAGAACTATACGCTTTACGCCACGCTAAACACAAGACACCCTACCTCACCCTTCATGGTCGTCGGGAGATGATGAGGAGAAAAATTTACCCCATTTTTGTAAGGAATTGATTGTATCACATGTGTGGGGGAGGCGGTATGGCTGCCTCACACACCCGGCTACTTTCAATTCCTGGCCAAGGTCTTAGTATAATGAGGTCCTGACCAACTGAAGCAGGGCAGACGTGCCTATACGAGTCCCTGGCGCAGCGGTATACAATCTCCCGCTAGTAGCCCTCCCCTCCTCCTCTTTGTCCATCCCTCTATAAGCTAGGTGTTCCTTCCCGTTTTGTCCTCACTACCACAGCATCACAATCACCATCTAGCACCACAACACCATCACAACACAATAAACAACACCACCACCACCACCACAATATTCCTCTTCCAATGAGATCATGAAACAACAAAGTTAACCCGTCCTTTGTAGTGTCAATGCTCCCAGCAGATCATTAGCAGCCATTAATGACAGACATAGATTTAAACTGATCATAAAAACCAAGATCGGAATTGTAGATATAAACAGTAAGTCTTTCCAATGATCTAAATTCACACAGAGTATCAACGAAGATGATTTAAAGGGATTATTTGTACTAGGAACTGGGAAGTGAGTCTAGGAACTGGGAAGTGAGTCTAGGAACTGCAAATTAACAACTTTCTTTAGTCATGGAAAGTAAGGATAGGAAACGACGGAGAGAAGACCACGAAGGGGGGTATGAGAAGCTTCCCCTGCCGCCCCTACATAAAACATCTGGTCTCTTATCCATTCCTTATTGTTCTAGTCTTTTGATCGTCGTGTCTGCCCCATGACGTATGTAAGAAGGTGACTAGCATAACTTAGGCTGCATAAACACGACAACCAGCGGCACAGTCTGGCTCTAGGAAGTCAATAATGGAAGTAAGTGTGTGTGTGTGTGTGTGTGTGTGTGTGTGTGTGTGTGTGTGTGTGTGTGTGTGTGTGTGTGTGTGTGTGTGTGTGTGTGTGTGTGTGTGTGTGTGTGTGTGCGCGTGTGTGTGTGTGTGTGTGTGTGTGTGTGTGTGTGAAAGCAAAGTCTGTTCCCTTTGTAGTTTGAAATATTGCCTTTGTCACTCGAGCAGTTAAAGATGTCCTTGATATAAACACTAACACCAACGCACTTTAACACCAACACTCTGTAACACCAACACACTCTAACATCAACACACTCGAACAACACACCTTAACATACTTGAACGAGAAGGAGACTGTCAATCACGGTCCTCCATATCAGTATTCCCGGCCGGGTTCGTGCAGCTCAGAAGATGGACTGAATGGCAGGGACCGCGGAGAAAATTTTCAATATTATCTAATTGAGAATATAATATTTTATAAAGGTTTTGCGATATAGATACTGACGTCAGGATATAAGAAGATAAACAAGTTGTTCAATTTATATCATGACGTTCTATAATTCGGTCGTAAGTTATAGGAAAATATAGGTATTGGTCATATAATCAGGGTTTGCTTAGACACCTTCAAATGACAAAATGATGCTGAGAGGATATTAACCACGAACGTTTTGAGGACTATCATAGTCTGGGCCTACTTGTGTGTGTGTGTCGTGGGTAGATGATGGTGGTGGTAGTGGTAGGGATGGTTGTAGTTGATGGTGGTGATAGTGGTGGTGATGGTGAAAGATGGTGGTTGTAGTGAGAGTGGCTTCCCAACATGACTAGGCGGTATGCAGGGGATAATACGTTACCGTCCTCATCAGAATGCTGTTCCCGTTCCCAATCCACATTCTACCCCAGACAGACGTACACCTCCGTCTGGTAGGGACACACACACACACACACACACACACACACACACACACACACACACACACACACACACACACAGAATATAGAAAATGGAGGGCGGGGCGCAACCAAACACCTTACATACACAGCCCATGATGGATGATCCTACCTGTACAGCCACCTACCATTACCTTCCTTGCCTCACTATTATGAGTTATGCTCTCACACTCACCACCAATCTAAGAGGGTCAATTTAAGGGGTTCAAAGATGGCATGACTAACACACACACACACACACACACACACACACACACACACACACACACACACACACACACACACACACACACACACTCACTGACTCACACACACTCACACAGACTTCCTCACTATCTCCCTCAGCTATAAGACCGCCTGTACTCTCTCCTCCCCTTTCATAACCCTCCTTTGGTATTCCTCCGCCCGCGATCATCACAATACTCTCCCTCTCACACCCTAACACGAGCAGACAGGCGCTAACGATAGACACCTCAGGCATCAGACACCCGAGGCAGCAGACAACCCAGGCAGCAGACAACCCAGGCAGCAGACACACACCAGAAGGCTAACAGCAGGCAAGGTTTCGCTGACAATTATCAAGTGTTTATGTTACTAATTATTTAATGCAATGACAAAGACCTGTACGCAGATGAAACAACTGTGCATAAAAGTAATTTCTAACTCTCTTTTACTCATGCTTGACTCACTCACTCAACCACCGACACAATTACTCATCCATTCACCCACCAACCAATCACCATTCATTAGTAACCCACCCACCCAATCATATACTGTACACACTCATACTAATCTACTCACTCACTCACTCACTCACTCTTACTAAGGTTCATGTATTAAATAAAGGTATTTATGAGAGTTATATTCCGGGAAAATGTTCTTTTTCAGCCCATGAGTGTGTAGTGGGTCAGCCCGGCCACTCCCACAAGACCTTGACCGCACAGGGGTTGCCAGTCCTCAGCCACTGCAAGATGATACGTTTCACCACCTGAGGTAAGGAGGGGTGAGTGGTGTATTCCTCACCCGGAGTTAAGGGAGGAAAGAAGGCTGTCGTCAACGTGAGATAGAGGAAGGTATAAGGTAACATGGGAAGGAGGAAGGCTTTCGTCACTACAGACTTCAAGATGAAATTCGAGAGGAAAAAAGATGTTATAATAATGTGGTATTTTACTGATGTAAAAATAAATGAGTAAGCAAATTCCCAGGCATATGTTCCAGTATACGGCGTCATGTGATGCGTTAATATCTTTAGATCATCTCACGAGTAAATAAGATTTACAGTTGTGTCCCCTTAATAAAACTCCATTTTCTGTGTATCCAATTAATTTCTAATTTATAAGAAGGCTCACTGTACTGTACTGTACTGTACTGTGGTTACAATATTTATATGAAATCAGTATTATTATTCCACAATGCGGTTATTTTTTTATTCGTACGTTTAGTGAATCTCTCTAATCAACCAATGTTATTAATTACAATGGTATCAAATAAAAGTTATAATATTAATATTTAACAGAGTAAACTAATACGTTAACCAAATAGTAAATAAAATAATAACGTCTGCTTTTTCTGCTGTAACCAGAGATCCACTGACTGTCAGCAGACCTACACTCAGCTGTAACAAGTTACATTACGAGACCCGGCCAGGGACCTCAAGCTACACGATAAGCCCACTGGAGTTTAATAGGTCTACTGTGGCATCAAGGAGACCCAACATCTGGCGACAGAGATAAGTGCCATAATAATATCTAATACCTGTCTTTCTTATCTTTATTTTTCCTATTGTTCCAAGTCTACGATACTAACTTGTGTTTAAGGTAAGGAGGTATACAAGAAACTCATTCAATATGGTTCTAATATGCACATACTGGATATGAACCATTCCTCAACACCGCTAGTAACCTCACAAGACAGTGGTCTTAAATCAGGGGTGGACGCTCGTCAGGGTTTGCCACGCCCCTCACCATGATGACAAATAACTCTGCACGTCCATAAATTTTATTTTAGTAATAAATCACACACCTTCCTTCAGAACAAAACAAACACTTGATCTACTGGGCATATGACTCCTGCAGACGGAGTACTAAGCTTCAACCTCAGACGAAGAAGCTTCTCTACATCACAAGTATCACCGTCACAGCTTAGTTTATTTCTAATTTTCTTTCCTTATAAAAAACAAAAAACAGTTTAGGCTTCAGAAGCTATACAAAATGATGAGAATTTCGGATAATACCAAGACACTTTTAATCATATACAGTGAGTGAGAATTGACCAACTCATGAAGCCACAAATCAATCAACTAACAGCAGTAATAGTCTAGGCACACACACACACACACACACACACACACACACACACTCTCTCTCATTCACGTTATAGATCAGTGTCTAGTTAACACAAGACACCGTAATAGGTCATTGAAGAGTGTAAGCTAACGTTGTATCAGGTGTGTGTGTGTGTGTGTGTGTACTGTACCTGTGCGTGGCCACTCTCACCCTCCACTGCTTCAAGCACATCACGTGAACAAACAGGGGGTGTCAACACAGTCTGAGGCGGCTTGACAGAAAGTATAATTTTGTTTTTCTTGTTCGTGTTATGGAAGTGACGTTGGATATATGAAGTCACAGACATACACAGAAACACATACACAGAAACACATACACAGAAACACACACACACACACACACACACACACACACACACACACACACACACACACACACACACACACACACACACACACACACACACACACACACACACACACACACACACACACACACACACACACACACACACACACACACACACACACACACACACACACACACACACACACACACACACACACACACACACACACACACACACACACACACACACACACACACACACACACACACACACACACACACACACACACACACACACACACACACACACACACACACACACACACACACACACACACACACACACACACACACACACACACACACACACACACACACACACACACACACACACACACACACACACACACACACACACACACACACACACACACACACACACACACACACACACACACACACACACACACACACACACACACACACACACACGAAACAAACGGTCATAGTTTCGCCTCCACAGCTACTAAAAAAACGTTCTTAAAAAGAGCCCTCCCTCACAACAACGTTCCCCAGTAAGCCAGCCAGGTGAGGCAAGCACAGAAATGACTATACGCATCCCAGAACGTTTATCACAATGACTCGGCTTTGTTATTCTCGTGTCCTCCTGAGAGACAAGACAACAAGGCGAGCAGGGCAAGACAACCGATCACTGGTGCCTGACCCTGTGAGTGCCGCTAGAGAGAGAGACACACATCTTCACAGTTATATATTTACTCTCCCATCCTGGCTCAGGTCTTATCTCTTACATTCTCTTCTTCTTTACCTCGACTCCTGCCCTCTCCTCAGTTCTCTGTCTCTCTCCTACCTCCCTCACACACCACGCCTCACCACCACACACCCGCCTCACCATCACACCCCACCTCACCATCACACACCCACGCCTCACCATCACACACCACGCCTCACCATAACACACCACGCCTCACCATCACACACCACGCCTCACCATCACACACCGCCTCACCACCACACACCCACGCCTCACCATCACACACCCACGCCTCACCACCACACACCCCTCACCACCACACACCCACTCATCACCACACACCCACGCCTCACCATCACACCCCACGCCTCACCACCACACACCCACGCCTGCACTCACCACCACACACCACGCCTCACCACCACCCACGCCTCACCACACACACGCCTCACCACCACACCCACGCCTCACCACACACACCCACGCCTCACCACCACACACCCGCCTCACCACCACACCGCCTCACCACCACACACCCACGCCTCACCATCACACACCACCCCACCATCACACACCTCACCATCCACACCCACGCCTCACAACCACGCCTCACCACCACACCCACGCCTCACCACCACACACCCACGCCTCACCACACACCCACGCCTCACCATAACACACCCACGCCTCACCATCACACACCCACGCCTCACCACACACACCCACGCCTCACCATACACACCCACGCCTCACCATCACACACGCCTCACCATCACACACGCCTCACCATCACACACCCACGCCTCACCAACACACCCACGCCTCACCACCACACACCCACGCTCACCACCACACACCCACGCCCACCACACACCCACGCCTCACCATCACACACCCACGCCTCACCACACACACCCACGCCTCACCACCACACACCCGCCTCACCACCACACCACGCCTCACCATCACACACCCACGCCTCAGTCACTAGTCCTCAATACCAAGGAACATCATTTCCTCAACCTGTCTCCTCCATACAGTCGACATGTTAGACAGAAACAGAACTAGGGTGGGTGAGTGTATCACATCACAGTACACCCCTTATAACAGGTACGCCTTAAACACCCACGGTGCCATACCAGGTCGAGGTCACGGTACACCCCTGGTCACGATACACTCCTAACCAGGTCACGGTACACCCCCAGGTCACGGTACACCCCTTATAACCAGGTCACCAGGTCACGGTACACCTTACACCCAGGTCACATACACCCTAGGTCACGGTACACACACCCAGGTCACTTATACTCAAAGACCTTTACACGTTCACTGGGACGTTCACCCCACACACACACACACACACACACACACACACACACACACACACACACACACACACACACACACACACACACACACACACACACACACACTCCTCATCTACACTCACTCTCCTTACCTGAACTGATCACTTTCACCTGTCCACCTCCTCCTCCTCCTCCTCTCTACCTGGCCGCACCTCACCCCCATGTTTGTTACCTCACTAACTCACTCACACACACACACACTCACACACACACACACACACACACACACACACACACACACACACACACACACACACATACATAGACACACACACATGATTCACCTTCCCGGGGTGTTTGTCCTCTCTCTCTCTCTCTCCTTTTTTTTAACCTCATGTTGAAAGGGAAAGGTGGTATTGTAATCCAATTTAGCCCGTGTGTGTGTGTGTCTGTGTTTGTGTTTTGTGTGTGTGTGTTTGTGTATGTGTGTGGGTGTGTGTGGGTGTGTGTGTGTGTGTGTGTGTAGGAGAGTATGTATGTACGTGTACAAGAAATCTGAAAACTGCAGAGTCAGTTTTTAGGAAACATTATATTTTCTTCCTCAGGTAACATTCAACTCACCTGTAAAACAGTACATAACAACAACAACAACAACACTATACTTGCCTTTACAATAATCTAAGCTCAAGTTTTCAGGTATTTAATTTACTGAGGTTAAGCCCATAGACCGTGAAGTGACCTTGGACACCAATTAATTTATAAGAGAGGTTTTTATTCCCAGACACGACGCAAGAGTAAGAAAGACTCGATCATTGGCTGTGATAACCGTCCTTGGGGAAAAAAACACCACATATGTCTACCGGGAGAAATACATCTATCAGTCAAATCAAGACACACGGAGATTAGAATAAATAAACACAGCATAAAAAAAATTTTGATCAAATTATTTATGGCTTTTTAATGCATTTTACACGTGTTTCAGTTTGGTTCACGTTCCGTCCTGAAAGAATCGGAGTTCGGTCATAAATGCTTGTGTTTGCTTAAAACTCACTCGTTTCAAACCATGTAATGTGGTAATTTAAGATAAATTTTCAGAGAGATTAGAAAGTAAAAGTTTCAATGTGTTTTATGTTTCAGGTCTAAACACGGGACAGTATCATGCAGTTCAAAAGTTCACTCATAAATGATTGTACGTTTATAAAGCTCACATGTCATAGACCGCAAGAGGAACTTATCTTAGTTCACTTTCCACAGAAATTATTATGCAGTTTCAGCGTGTTTATTTTTTTTTTAGATCAGATTATGTATCAAATGATCTCTTGACCAGTGGAGAAATCAGTAGAAAAAAAAATTAGTGTACTTGTCAGAGTTACTTATTTGAGGTCACAAAAGCCACAATTCTAGTTCAATTTTCAAGGAGATTAACAACTTCAATGCGGTTATAATCCATCTCTGAATATGGGATAATTTTACGATCAGATCAAAGATATCAATCAAAAATACTTGTGTTTGCATATAAGTCAAAAGAGATATAATTTCCTTCGGTATTCAAGGAGATTAAAAGCCTCAGTCCTGTTATGATTCGTTACTATATATGGAATTATTTCACGCTCACCTTAGAGGTCATGTAGTAATCATTATTCTTGGGTTAAAAGTCACCTGCTGGCCGCCTCACTCACACGTTAACACACTGATGAAGGAGCAACAATTATAAAAAAAAATGATAAACTTAGTGAAAGATGATTTATTGACGGAAAAAAGCTAACGAGGTATTATTTATTTGATTTTATGCTTCACTTGTGTGTCCAGAGGTGATCTTGTTGGTAGCCGATGAGTTTATGAGTTTTTCGGTGTTTATTTTTATTTTTTTATTCTTTCGTGGTATTCGTTGTTTCGTTAATGGCGATGTGTGTTTTTTTTCATTGTTTTTGTCGATGTTTATGTTCGGTTTTGTCAGCGTTTGTTCTTGTTACTCTCTTTCTTATATGTTTGTATTTGTTATCGTTTTCTCGTCGTTATCTGTAAGTTTTTGTCTGTGTGTCTGTCGA